GGATCGATCTAAATTTAAAGTAACCTATTTAATCTAATTTTGAAATTGATAAAGATTAATGAAGAAATGAAATCTTCAAAATTAATCCTTATTAAGTTCAAATATCTCTTCATTAATTAAATAACTAACCTCTATATAAAATAGAATCTACTATTTTTTAAAAAGGCTAATGAAAGGTAGAGAGAGGCACCCTTACCCTAAGAGAAAAGAGAGAGATGCTATACAAGAAAAGAAGGAGGTCATGATTTCTTCAGGCTCGGTGATGAATAAATAGACATTAGAAGTTTAAAGCGCTAGCACATTATTTGAGTAGGATAGCTGTTTGTGTGGATACTAGTAGAGGGAGCTAGTCATGGAGATTCAATTCTTTAAATCAAAATGATAAGATCCTTAAGGTTGCAAGCATAAAGGTAAAGTTCTATCTACTCTAGCATAAATAATATTTTTCAATTTGTGAATGGAATTAGGAATTTTAAATTTTAATTCTTCTATTACACCCTTATAACATTCTGAGTTTTCAACTTAGAAACTTTAAGTGTACTTTAAGAAAGGTAAATTGGTCAAAATAAGAGATTTATAAATCAAAAATGTTTTTGGATAACTAATATGGTTTATGGATGATTAGACAGCCTTGTAAGAGGGCTAGATCGAAGTTCAATCGGATTATGGCATGGAGAACCCAAACATGTCTAAGTCCTTTTGTGCCATCTGCCGTGGCAAACATGCTATGAGCTGTGATAGATGCACAAAAATTTCCTTTTATTAGATTCATGTTCTTGTTTAAAACAAAAGGGAGAAAAGAAACAAAACGTGAGAGGGTGATGGAGGTGAAGCTTAAGGCTGCTAGGGCTTCATTCTTGGATGGTTTTAAGGGCATTATGAGTTGGAAATCAACATTTGTAAGTTTCCTATACTCCTTCCTCTCCTTCTATGTGAATTTTCTATGTTTTAGGGATTTTAGTTTATCTTGGATAGTAACTAAACCTATTAGCTTAGATAAGATCTTAAGGAGTTAAATCAAGCTTCTAAACATAGGTTTCTGCATTTTGTATGGATTTAAAATTTTTAGTTAAGGTTTGACCAAACCTTAAGTGAAATTTAGGAGTTTTGGATCAATATGGATAAAGAATTAGTGTTATTTATGTGGTTGGGTGTTAAATGAAATTAATGGAGTATATTAGAAGTGTTAATCATTATAGTAGAATTTTAGATATAGTGGGTACCCAAAAATTAGACTAGAAAGGGTTAATTAGAATAACAATTGATGATTAAATGTTTAATCTTATAAATTAAATATTGATTGTGCCTCGTTATGCGAGTGGACTTTGGTAAAGCTGATAATTGACCACGATAGCCTTTTTGTGACAAAAGAGTTGAGATAACCAAATTATTTGAACTTATTACTGGCATGCTTGAATGGTTGTGTAGGATTGTGAAACATTATTTCATTATTATTTTAAACTAGTATATTATTAGTAGAAAGTGATTTGGCATTTTGAATCCCTATGTAAAGTAGAATGGGCGTATATGTTTGCGAGTATGAGATTGAGAGATTTCATGTTAAATCCTATGTATATATGTATATGCTTGCAAAAATGTATGAGTTATTATGGAGATGATTATTGTAAACAAACTACAAGCTTATGGCCATGTGTAGAATTGTTGAGCATAATGTTTGGTATGATCATTATGAGACGGTGGGAGTTCACCTCTAATGTTGTTCAGGAACATTTTTTGAAAATCCATATGGTATATTAGCACCACAGAGCCCCTAGGTGACAGTTCTATTATTGTTTAGAAGTCTAAATACTATTTGAAATAGATTAGACATATGATACCTCAGGTATTTGTAGAAGGGGAGAATCTATGGTCCATAGTAGGTGAAGGTGCCTTTGGCTAGGTTTACCTCCCATGATTAGTATGCTTAAGCCAATCTAGTTACATGGATCTAATTCTATTAAATTGTTAGCCTATAGATTCAAAGGGAGGAAAGAAAGGGGATATAAAGTGGTGTGTTGATCATGCATATCAGTATTGTATAGCTATATGTGTGCATGTAAACTTGACCTACACAGTATATGTTTAAATGCCACTTCACATATTCACTAAATATTCTCACATATGAGTAGTTTGTTTATATTATTGGGTCATTGGGTCCTCGACTCACCCTATGGTTATACTTTATAGGTAAAGGCTTTGATAGGGGCAAATGCAAGGGAGGGGCTACCGAGTCTTAAAGAGCTTAAGTTTGTATAGTTCTCCTTTTTAGGTAATGTAATGAATTCATATTGAATATACTAATTTAGGATCATCTGTTATTTTAAGGTTACTTGGATGAGAATTGTTGTGCAAGTGATGTTTTATGTTGATTATGTGTTGGAATAGCCATAAGAATGTTTAAATGTAATGTTTTGTTACCCCTTGAATTCATTATAAAATTGAGGTTTTGTTACCCAATTTGTGTTTGGATTGTTTTAATTACTGTATAATTAGTCTATCAGATTGTGTGTGGTTCATTTGAGTTGGGTCAAGTGGTTTCAAGGCTATTGGTACTAGGTTGGTTGATTTAGGCACCCATGTTGTGGTTTTGAATTGAAATTGAACCAATTTGTGTTCAAGTGTCCAAATTTTAAATGGTAAAGTGTATGGTGTGGAACCGATGCTAATAGATAGGGGGCTCAATGAGTTATGTGTGGACATTTAAATTGCTCAAATTAGTCATTGGATGGCAAAATAATACACTTTAGAAGTTGGTCTTGAGTGCTGTCATAATAGCTGAATATTGCCATGACAGTAAGGGTGCATCATGGTGTATTACACAACGAGAGACCTAATATCTCTGTGCCATCTACCACGATGGATGACATATGTGCCATAGTGGATGGAACATTTTGGGAGTAGTCCAAAATGATCTTTTAAATGCTTATTGGTATTGTTATTTGGCTTTTATGATTCTGTTACTTTTTTAAATTAATTTTAAACTATAGTTTGAGCTCAAATGTCTTTTTAAAAGGATTTCTTGAGATCTCAATCTTTTAACCCAAATTTTCTAAACTCTTATGTTATGATAACCTTATATAGAATTTAATTAATCTTGGTTATCATAACATTGTTAGGTGTCTTGTGTTTTGTGTGTTTGGTAATGTCAAGATGGATATTATAGCCCCTAATTCTAGTAGTGGTCCCATTGGTATTACTTATGGCCCTACCAAACCACCTTGCTTGAGTATTTGTACATTTTTTAGAACATTTATTGCTTTCTCTTGTTTGCACCATATCCTGCCCTCTTAAGGATGGAAGCAATTCCAAAAAGAAAAGTGAGTTAGTACTAGCTCGATAAGGGAAAACAATATGTGCAATATGATATTACCAACTCTACAAACAATGCATACTCATATGTCAAACATAGTTCTCAAACACAAACCACATATCAGTTCTCAAAACTTGAGAAATTGATACGAAGTTATAAGGTTACCTTTACTAAACTACCATTAACACTAAAACTAAGGTAATTACTGACTAACCTAATTGGATTACCAAGCTTATAATATTTGTATGAATGAAATCCTAAGTTTTCAAAATTAGAAAAATACTTAAACACCATTTAGTAAACAAAAATAAAGTAAAATATGATTACGGAAGCATGGGATACCAATAAAGTTCAAAGCATGTGCATTTTTATTGAAAATAACATAATAGTATAAAAATAGAGGGTGTGTTGCGACATACTCTCTGTGCCCCACGGCACACTCCACACTGTGTCATGAGTTGCAATGCATTGCACTATTTGACATGATAGTAGCAGGGGTGAATTTTTAACACACCTATTCCTCTATCCTATGCTCGATTAGAGTGATTTATGCGTTTATAAAAAGCTCTTTCAATGCTCTTATTATTGACATAGGTTTTTGTAACACTTGCCCCGAGTGTTATCCAAAAATCATATAATTCAAATAAACTAAGTGTGGTTAAGGAGTTGATCCTCTAACTAACTTAAGAAATAAATCATTTAAAACCTAAAAAAAATTATAGGTTCAACCTATAGTGCACGGAAGCAAGCTAGATGGAAGTGAAATAAAAAGATGCGATCATGAAATTGCTGTCATGACAGCCCTCCTGGGCCAACTTTTGGGAGGTGCCGTTTCGTCATTCGACCTCTGATCAAAGTGATTTTAAAGCTCACACGTTACATTCAAAGGGTACTATAAGTGTACCAAATTTTGAAAAGATCCAACAGTTGGATTAAAAATTAAACATATTAAAAGATTGATTATTTTTGCTATCATGACAGCACCTCCGGACTAACTTCTGAGGTGCACCATTTCATCATCCGACCTCCGATTGGAGCGATTCCAAAACCCACATGTCACTTTTAAATAGTACTATTAGCATACCAAATTTTGGAAATATCCAATAGATGGATTAAATTTAGTGCATATTGCAATATTATCAATTATTGCTCTCATGACAGCACTTTTGCTGTCATGACAGCTCCTCCGGACCAAATTTCAGAGTGCGCCATTTCTCCTCTGATATTCGATCAATGTGATTCCAAAGCCCACATGAAGCTTATAAAAGGTTTTACTTGTGACCCAAATTTTAGAAAAATCCAACGGTCAGATTAAGATTTGGACACCTGAGTACAAAAGTGCAGGTTTTTAGTAAAAACCATTTTCAAAATTGTCCAAATCTCATCCTAATGGTCACAAACTTGTGGAAACACTTTGGACACATTAAATAGGACTAAAAACACCTGATAAAACATTTAAATGATAGAAAAATCCTTTATACTAAAATTTGACCACTTAGGTGCCATTTCCCAAAATGGACCCTAAACCCCCAAAATGCACAAATCACACAAGAGTGGCCAAAAACTATTTCAAATATCATATACACATATGAATACACACCCTAAACATTTTTACTTGGCTTAGAGATCTCTGTGGGGCCCACGCACCCACTCTCTTTATCCAAGGTGTATGTTTGCCCATAGGACACCATTTACAATGTAACCACTTTGTATTTTCTTGTGGAATCACATATATACCAAAATAAATATTTATTTTAGTGGAAACTTGGTCTACTGAATAAATTCATCAAAACCACACACCATAGCCAAGTTTCCTAGTTACAAGTCTACAAGCAAACAAAAATTCATACACAAGCCATACAATTCACACATACTCATGCACATATACATAATCATATCCTACTAGCACCCTAATCCTAAATACATTACAATAGATTTGCTCAAAAAGAAAGGGGTTGTAGTTCTTTACAATTCACAAACAACCCCTAGCTTTACTCCTTTCCTCATCCTCCACTGGTTCCTTCTTTTGGACTGAAAATATTGAAAAGAAAGGGGTGAGACAACCACAGTCTTAATAATAGAGAAATCTACATTGATTATTACAAAGCAAGCCATAATTGAATAAATGAATAATAAATTCAACATAGTATAATTTAGCCATTTAAAATGCATGAATGCATGACCTAGGTCGGTATGGCCTTTCATGACCAACAAAATGCCCCCTGACACTCTTTAACTCACAGGTAAACCTTATACCTACTTGTATCTCTACAGGCACAAAACATAATCTAAGGTATGATCTAATCCACCGAACCGCCTATGCCCTTTCGACGTAAATCCTGAGTAGTCAAAGCTAACTCCCTCCCAGAGCCAGCCCGACTTACTCTCCATGTGAGGGCTACCTTGGCTAGGCACTCAACCTCACAATTCATATGTCAAATTTCCTCTCCCACTGAGAGGTGCTGAACACTCAATACACTAACCACCTTAATGCACTGAGCCCATAATATGTAAGGCAACACTGAGTACTGACAGTGTGCCACAGAATATCAAAAGTCCACACCTTCTCATTGGTGAATTCCCACCGAGATCATACCTTTTATTCATGGCTACCTTTCCATAGTATTGACCACTTCAACACTCTAAGGTAGTATAACATTTATAAACCTCCCTTAAACGGTTCCTTAGCCTATCTAAGGTACCTTAGTTACACTTCCTTAAGTGTAACTTCTATTCTTTATGATTACAATACATGCAACAAATCTTGTTTCTATAAAAACATTGTTGTTAAACAATTGAAAAACATATTTGCACTATAATCAAAGTAGTACCCTATAACCCCTTATAAAGCACATTTAATCTTTTAAAACATGTAATGCATGATAGCTAGTAATATTTATTCAAAAATAGCTAAAACAAAGTAATAAGAAATATAAATTTTCCTGTTACCTCAATCCTTTAATACCAAAAGGGTTCCTCTTGTACAAAATAGGGCTTGGCTTGTTCCTTAACTTCCAAACAAATTCCACTAACAATCCCTACAACATATAAGTGATCCACATCACTTATTATGACAAATAGCATTAATGAAGACTATAACTCATACCACACAACTTAGGTTAATGAGTCATAATCCATCCTAATGGTCCATATATTAAACCAACCATCCATATAGTATCACTTAACCACCAAAACTATTTATTAGTCATCACTAGACTAATTTCTAATTTATATAATTTTTAATCAATTAAAAACCTTCACTTAGTGTCACCAACTTTCACCATTAGCCCTTATAATGAAAACCAAACCTTAATTTAAATTTTATTGGGCTTAAATGGCAACATTATAACTAATCAATAGGCTTAAACCATTAAGAAGAAAACCCAATCTCTCAGGGTTTAATTTGTGCCCAAAACACCTCTTTTCATTTAATTGTTCACTCAAAATATTAGATCACTATATAGAAACTCAAAACATCCTCCCTAGGATCCAAAGAAACAAAAGCTTACAAGAATAAAGCCTTTGGGATCAAAATCCATAAATTTTCTCTTCCAAAAATTGAGAAAAACAAAGAGGGAGGGAAGAGGATTGAAGTAGGGAGTTTACCTATTGCGTAGCCGAGCTCGCAATGGCCGCAAAGCCTCCTAAATTCGAGCCTAACTCCCTCTCTTTCTCCTATCTTCTTCCTCTCTCTCTCTCACGCGTTCATTTCCTTCTTTCTTTTCAGTTTCTACGTTCTTTTCCTCTTTAAATTGCTGGTTTAATGCCTTAGGGAAAATTACAAGAAATGGCCGAACATTTTTTTATTATAGCACAAAAACCCGAGTCAACTTTGGTAATTTTTTTCATAGTTAAAAATCAAATAAAATCAAAATTTTGCTAAGAAAAATTCAAACTCTGGACTTCTATCAAATTATCTAAATTTTAATTTAATTATAGATATTTATTTTATTTTTTTAAAATAAATTCGAGTCTTAAAATTTTTAGAATGTTACAAGGTAGCTTCACAAGCATGATAGGCGACTTTTGATGTGGGGTCATCTACTTAGTCATTCACCTAAAAGGAGGAAGATAATACAAAATTAGAGGAAGACATATATGGAGTAGATTTCAAAGAATTTTAGCTCATCACCCATAGAAAAAGTAGCAATTAAAGGCCTACAAAAGACAAGCCAAAAGCAAAAAGAAAAAGTGGAAAGAAGAAAGAAAAGTAAGACAAAGCTAAAAGTCACAAGAAAAGTTGATGAAAGACAAGAAAAAAGTAATAGAACAAACCAAAAGCAAAAAGCAAGAGTCATGGGTAATCAAAGACTTATTGTAGACAAAAGTAAAAGGAAAGAAATCACGGGTGAAAATTAAAAGTGACCTAATTAGGGTGGTAAGAAAAGTAATTCAAGTTTAGTAAAATAGAGTTTTGAAACTCTATAATAGGCATCATGTTCTTTTCACCTCTCTCTAATCCATCCCTCTCACCTCTCACTTGTAATATTTTCTTTCTCCCATCTTTCCTTCACTTTCACTGTAAGCATATCCATACCTCCTCTTTAATTTCAATAAAGCTATATTTGCAAACTCTATGTTTTCAAGCTTTATATGTTCTTGATCCTGCTCACACCCTAGCGTGGTGGACAAGAAAAAGATTTTCAAAAATCTATATTAGGAATTATATAGTCAAACTTGTTTAAAGTACCAATCTATATTGATTGTTTTTTGAACTATGTTACTAAAATATATTCACAGCACTTTTTGTCTTTTCACAAATTTGTTAGGATAAAGTTCCATATTTCCTCTTCTGGATGGGGAGGAAATATAGCCTGTATGGTTTCTACAATAGAATCCCTTTTAAATTCAAGTTCTATAAAACAAGATATCATGATATATTCTTTTGGAATATAAGGACTGTATTCAAGATATTTTGATGAACTAGCTTTATAAGTGATAACTTGTTCATATGTCTATGGTTTAGAGGACTTGTCTAATACAAAATCCTCTATGGTCATAAGTCGATTTGGCTTTTGAGGTGTAGCTATTGGAATGGCTATACCTTTTCCTCTATCCTTTATACTCATTGTGAAAATCTTTTCTTTTTCCCTATAAAAATTCTCTTGTTAAAAAATCCAGTAAAGAATTTTATTTTTTTTTCATAAACTGTATTTTAAAATCAAAACAAGATAAAATAGTTTTCTATTTGGCAAAAATCTGTTTTGACACCAAATTTCTAACATCTTTTTGTAAAATATCTTTTGCTACTTTACAATCTACTTTAATCAAAAACTTTTGATTTATCAAATTGTTTTGAAATTTTGTAACATGAAAAACGATAGACAAAATTTTTTTTTGATGGTGTAATATTGCTGTTGAGCTTTTGACTATACTCCTGAATAGAATCTTACTATTTTCTCCTTTTCTCCTTCTAACTATTTCAGGATACTACCATGTCCTATTTTTGTTGTGTTTGTCTCTACTATCTTAAAAGTTATTGAATTAGCTATCCCTAAACAAGGTAGGCTTTCAACCATTTTGGTGAGTTTTTCTATAGCCTATTGAAAAGTAAAGCAATCTTTATCCTTATTTTTGGAAGGAAGTCAACAACATAGTTGAGACATCCTAAAAATCTCTATAGTTGATTTCTATCTACGATCTTATCAAAAAATTTGTCGGCAAACTCAATTGCTCAACTAGTTGGCTTAATATTTCCTTGATATATTTTTATCCCTAAAAATCTAACTTTCACTTGAAATAGTTTCATTTTTCTAGCTGAAACTACAAGACCATTGGCTTTAATGATTTTATAAAATTGATTTAAATGTTTAAACTTTTCTTCAATAGAATTGAAAAACACCAAAACATCATCAATATAGACTATGGTAAATTTATTGTAAGGGGTGAATATATCATTCATTATCAGTTGAAATTCTAATGGAGCATTCTTTAATCCAAAGGGCATTACATTTCACTCGTAATGACTAAAGCGGATTGTGAATACAGTTTTATGTCTATCTTTTTTCTGCCATCTGGATCTGATAGTATCTAGATTTCATATCAAACTTTAAAAATATTGATTCATTAGATAATCTTCCTATCAAATCCTTTTTGTTAGAAATAGAATATTGATGTTCTTTTTATATTTTTGCAGAATTTTGCACATAAAAAGCTAAACAACTCCAAGGAAACTTACTAGGTCTAATTGATTTCTTATCAAGTAATTGTTGAATTTTTGTCTTGCAGTATTGAAGCAATTCTTGATTCATTTATATAGGTCTGGCTTTTCTTGGGATTTATCTTTCACTAAAACTTTCTTCATAGGATAATTCCACTATATGCTTTTTCTCATTCCAAAAAGCATTTGATGTTCTAAACAAATGTATTTTTCAAATTTACCTTTTGAATTAATTATTCTTTCTTTAATATGTGAATTTTCTACCTGCTCTTCTATGCTCTTCTATTCTCTTCTAACGAATTTCTTTATTATGAAAATTTACTGGTTTTCTTTTTTTTATGTATATAATTAACCATAAATATTGACTCATGTTTTAACATTTTTATTTCCTTGATTAGTCGGGGTTTAACCCATTCAAAAATTATTTTCTTTCCTACTATTTTTGTTATTATTCCTTCCTAACTAGCTTTAAAGGGTAATATCTATTTTAAAAAAAAGGTGTGTTTAAAATGGCAAGTTCGCTCGAAGTTTTAACCAACATAAATATATTTTTAAAACACATTCCTTGGTTACAAATATGAGAATTTGTTAATTTATATTGTATATCTAGGTTCGAGTTATTAGTTATTCCTATCTTTTCATATGTCTTTTCATAATACTTTGTTGGATTTATGTATACAATTCATGCCTGCTCCTAAATATACTAAAACTACTATGGTTCTAGCAAATTCTTGGTTAATAACTAGACTAATTTAATAGTACCATTTTCTATAAGTGAATTGTGAAACTACAATAATATATCTATTTTGATCTATGTCTGTCAGAATTTCACTAATATCATCTTCACCTTTAACATCTATTTCTTTATTTATTTTGTTTCTATTGTAACTTTTATTTATAATAATTCTATATCTCTATGGGTTTCATTATTCTTTAATTCTTTAATTTATTGTTGTATTTGTTTTATTTCTTGTTGTAATTCTTTTATTCCCACTGGTATACTACTTTCAGGTTCAAATTTTTTTTAAAATGTCATTTATACTTATCGAATCTCTAGAAGTTTGGGGGTTTTCTTCTTTATCTAGAATGTGTCTAATTTTTAGTAAATATTGTCTTTTAATTTCTTCATCTTAGATTTATCTATAATTTCTACCAAAAACTTTAAGTTTTCTCTATCTAATGTAGTTATCTTTAGTTTTTTTTCTACAACTACAAATTTCTTTTTCTAAACAATCTTTTTCAAATTCTTCTGACGATGACGATTCACTATTACTGTCTATATCTTTAATATTTAATATTTTCTCTATTTTTTCTCCATCTTCTTTTAAAGAATATTCTTCTTCAAATTCAGACTCACTTTTTGATATAATTCATAATAAATTCTATTTATTTTCTTCACTTGTCTGAAGTTCTCTAATTTTCTCTTCTACTTTACATTTATTAGAATAACGTCCACATCTTCCACACTTATGACAAACTATATCTTTTTATCTTTTCTATTCTTTAAAAGGTTTTATTTTTCTTAAAAGATATTCCATATTTTTGAAGAAAATATTGTTTATTCTTTTTATATTTCCTATAGGTATCTGCATATAATTTTTCTTTTTATTCTTTCTAGATGGAGCTTGGATTTCCCCAAATCCATATTGCTCACAAAAGTTTCCTAATTCCAATCTTCCTTGTTTTGTGTCATTATATATTTTCTTTTGCATTTTTTATCTCATTACCAATTTTAATCTTGTAATATTTTTCATTTTAATTATTTCTCTATAAGTAATGGCACTATAAATTGTAGTTCCTATACTTTGTCTTTGTCTAATTTCATTTTTTACTCTTTCTACAAATATCTTAGGTAATCTTGAAATAAATTTTTCTTTC